CATCATCATTTATTATTGGAAACTTTAATATCTGTATATATTGAATTATATGCAACAAATTTCACATTTTGCCTGTTCAGTTTACCTACTGTGCACCGAAAATAAGACCAAATTACCAGTTTCCTTCTGAAAAACTTTACCAATACAGATACAAAGAGAATGGTGTGAAAGGTTATAATTGTGATATGGGAGTACAGACAGATACAGAGCTGAAAACATATCAAGTGTTAGCTATAAACACTCAGACAGTCCTCAGTCTGAAGGTCAAAAATAGTCCAATGAAAAGGCTGAAACAACAATTAATATTTTTATCTCTCTTTAAATAAATGTTGATGACCAAGCATTCAAGTACATGCAGGACAAACAACGTAATTCAATGACAGATATTGAAAACAATGGCATTATGATACCCACCATTCCGGTCACACAGTGTACTGTACAGCAGCTTACAGTATTGTATAGTTCTGCAGCATCACTCACCACAGTGGGAATTTAACCTGCGCTTCTCTACTAACTGAAATACACAGTGTTACTGTAAGTCTCTCTATTTATTTAAATAAGCAGTATACCAATGTTTAATAAATTGTTTATAACACACTACAATGTAGTTATAAGAAAATATTAGGACATGTTTAAGTGTTTATTAATGTACAGTATTTGTCAATTCTAACTGCTCCTAAAAAGACATCTTAAATTAGTACAACTGTGTTAAACTATCTTGTCTTTCATTATTTGTTTATACAGTAGCCTCCAATTATGGGTGCCCACACGAGGGGTTATTTTTATTTACTACTCTTCCACATTACATGTTACAAGACTCTTAAAGTGTATTAATTTTTTTTGTATCACTACGTCAAGTATGAAATAAATCAGTTTTAAATCCTTTGGATGCAATTCAGATCTGCCTGAAGCAAAAATCAGTATCATAACTGAAACTGACAAAAGTATAAAATCGGTTGTAACCACTTTATCATGGTTGTATTGGACTCTTCTGTTATAATGTGATTTATAAAGGCACTGTGTAAACTGGGGTGCTGTTAGTAATCAGTGCTCAATAGACATACAGGGCAGGAGTAAAACGTACCTCTTTGACGTGTCGTTTGAGGTGCATGTAAACACTCTGTCCTGTTTTGCGATAATGTCTCTCCACATGTTCTCGTCCAAAGCCCAGGAATGTGTTCATACACACATACAGTCCTCCCTCTGACTCCTACAGGACCAAAACAAACAGTTAACAATGAACAGCAGCACGAAGTGACCGACCATGGACACAACAGCACATTTAACACTGAAAAACGTGAAGTGCGCATATTATACAGAAAATGTTATAGTATTATAGTATTATAGTATAGTATTATAGTATTATATTTTCGCTTTTATCTTTATTATAGGTCTTTGAATTGGTAGCCTCCATGTTTATTGTGCCTAACTGTAGACTACTTATAGTGTATCATATATATCCTCACACATGTATTCCCTCTAACAATACCTTTTCTAATCTGTTAAAAAAAAAGAGTGAAAAGATAATAATAATTTCAGCTTCAAGAACAGTATTGTGATGTACTGTACTTTGTTACACATTACTTGGCCTTAAACTTTACACAACATGTGATGCAAGTAAGAGATGATGTGCCAATGATTCTGCAAGCACATTTTCAAAAAGGCCATCTTGCATCTTGTCAGACCGCCAAAAATCTGTTCCGCCACAAAAAAAATCCCCCTTTTATCGAGTCTCCTGCTGTGAAGCCTGATTTTTATTATAAGGCCACAAAATTATAGTCTCTTTTTTTACACATTATTTTAGCCAAAAAATGTCTCAAAAATTGGATAAATCTCTGATAAAGAATTATCTTATTGTCCATTTTTTTTTAAAAAGCAGTTTGATGGACCCATTTTGCTGGTTTTGTTTCAACTAAAGATGGGCATCCTGTTACAAGCAGCAACACACAAATCAATTTAATTGACAAAAGTAGAACCTCTACGCTTTTAGGGCACTGGGGACCTGCAGGTTTTTGCTACAATTTAAAAACACAGTACCCTCAGTCCTGATAAAAATGCTGTGTGTCTGTGGACTGAGCCCCACACGTCAAATCTCAAGCTGACTGTCTAAAACATCCTTTTGTCACATTCAGAAGGTCCGTATGCGAGCAATGACGCACATTTAACACGTTCACATGTGAACGACATCAAGAAAACCCTTTCAAAACTAACCTAAATCTGCAATCAGTGTAGGCCTTATAAACCCCTTGTGATAAACCTTTAAGTGGCCCAGAGTGACATATGAGCTTCAACAGTGCAAGGATAAAAATAACCCAGTCCTCAGGCCAACATGATGAACTCCAGACAGCTGAGTCACCTTTAAAAACGGTTTCAGTCGAGAAAGTAGGTTTTTGTTTTGTTGTATGTAGAATCTGTTAAGAGCCTAAAACTCAGACTTTCTATTTGTCACAAACTTTTACAGGTACAGGGAAGGTTGAACTCTGCATCAATACTTCAGATTTAAAAGTTTTTAAAAAGTTTAATAATTCAAAATATTCAGTATTTTGATGCCCTATCACGATTGCCTTAATCACAGAACAACCAGAGAAAGACAACAAATAAATAAACACTTGCATTAAAATGTGGGTCATGAGATTCTACATGAACTTTCTAGTGACATAATAACATAAAAACATCATATAAAGGCCCCCACAGACTCACTATTGAGTATAAAAACTCACTTTAAGTAAATATATGAGTCATACAATACTACCATGGATAGCATGAAGTTTTGATTAGTCACTGTAAATTCACCGAAGTGAATTGTAACTGTGCATCACACAATCAACTGATGTTTATAGGCTAAAGAAACACACTGCTGGGAGCCTATAATGGTGGAAGCATTGTATAAGCACCACTGACACAATACAAGTCAATTTTTTGACAAATTACAAATTACAAACACACCATTAAGTGGCTGCAAAGTCACTACAGAGCCACACACACACACACACACACACACACACACACACACACACACACACAGCTGTTTCCTACAAGCTGACAGACCTGCTGAATCTTTTAAAAATCAATTCAAAGCTCAGAGCAGGTGTGTTTGCTGGTGCATTTATTGGCTGAATTGGCAAATATGGCCCTGAAGTGGACCGACTGCCTCTCCCTGCACAAAGGGAAACCCCTCCAGCCCCCCCTCTCTCTCTCTCTCTCTCTCTCTCTCTCTTTCTCTTTCTCTGTATCCTGAGATGTAAACAACATTTAATTATTTATTTCTCTTTCACGCTCACGGGGAGGAAGGCGGCCATGGAGACACACACAAACAAAAACAATACGGCCGCAGATTCAGGTGTGTGTGCGCTCATATCAGACGCACAGTCCTCGCCCTCCCTCCTCTACTACCATCACCCGCAAAACCAGCCGCTCCTGTCTCGGCTGTGTGTGTGTGTGTGTGTGTGTGTGTGTGTGTGGACACTTACGGGAGAGTCGAAAGAAAAGGCGCACTCGCTCTTGAAAACCCTGTCTCCTGTCCTGGGCACCCTGATGGTGGGCATGTACGGGACCAGCAGCTCTCCTAGGTCTGTAGCCATGTTCGCATTCCTGCTTCTCGCACCACAGTGCCGCGGAGCCACCGGAGCAGCGCTGTCAGAGGAGAGGATGCTATTTTTAAAGCACTCCGTCTCTACATTCCTCCAGCCAGAGGGACGTGACGCTGAAAAACATAAAAATAAAATGACGGAGAGGGTGGAGGGCTGCGCGGCCGCTGCGCACGGTGCGAAGCTAAGGACGTGAAGGCTAATGTTGTTTTTCTTCTTGCAAAAAAAAAAGGAAAAAGAAAAGGAAGACGCTTTGACCTGCGCAGATATTACATGGCTACTGTTGACTGTGGTGACGCTCTGTGCACACAGGGATATTTTACCAGAAGGGCCCCTCCCACCTCTGAGGGTGATTCATAAAGCCACCCACACTTACTACACCATGTGTCCCCCACCCGGATTCAGGGAAAGCGGGATTATTAGGTGCGCTTTGAGTTTTAATAGCTGCTGATTGCGGTGTCCTACAAGCCTAACAAAAGACTGCATTCATCTGCAGGAGCTTTTGTTGTTGAAATACATTTTCAAAAAATAGAATAAAATGTATTTCTCCGCAGCATTATGCGTTTATAATAAAGAAAATATCGTGCATCTTATGTAAAATGTGATTTGTACAACCACATCATCTGCAAAGAGTCCCTTTGTCCATCAGACAACAATCATCTGGTCTGCACAGCTCTGCCACCAGGTGGACACTCTGCTTCATTGCAAAAAAATAGAAATTGTTGGCCAATACTGAATCCACTAAATAAAAAAAAAAGGGTTTCACCATGCAATGTGTCCTTAATGCTTCATACTCCAATTTTTAATCCCACAAATGTTCATATCTTTGTGTATTTAACTGCTGTATTTTACAGTACAGATAAACAGTGTATATAGCTGAATGCCCTGTTTGGATTTAAGCACTATGTAAATGCAGTTCATTAATGTCCAGCACCCCGCCCTGATTAGGTTCTTACAAACAAAAGGTATAAATAAGATTTAAGATCATTTAAAACAAATAACACAACAAATAAGACCATGTGCATATGCATGTGTAAGTGCAAAAACGTTTGTGCCTATACATGTCCATTTTAGACTCAGATTGGTGTTTGAGTACTTGGACTGCAATGGATCCGCTATCTGCACCTGGTTATCCTTTGCAGGGTGGAGACTATCCCCTCGCATTCTGGGTGAGAGCCAGGATACCACCTAGACAGGTACAGGGCTGACACTTGGATAGACAAGCACTCGGAAGCACACAGAGTAAACCCAAACAGACACAGGGACAACATGCAGACTACACAGAAAGACCTTGGCTGGCTGGTGGATTTGAACACTGGACTTTTTACATGCAGCAGAGTGCCATACACTCAGCCACTGTGCAATGCAACCTATAATATATTTGGAGCATGAAGCCAATAAAGACACCAGAGGTAAAAATGTAGACCACATAGATACTTTATTTAGGCAAGAAGGGGAAAAAAATTTACAAACAGTTAGATTGATCAGCATGATGTACTGATGGCAGACACGGCTGGATTAATTGTCAGGTGTTGACTTGGGGCTGTAGTCAATTAGTTCCTTGTCGGGGGTGTTCAAATGGAACCAGGGGCCGTCACCCTTCTGCCTCATCTGTCGACGCACCTCCAACTGAATCAGTCTGTTGATGACAAACGGGCAGTGAATTGATCAAATATGGCTTTAATAATGGAAAACGGGGCAAGATTGTGTTAGAGCTACATCCTTCGCTCGCTTCTGACAAAACAGATGTGTTTTTCTTCTAAAGTATCCAACCTTCCTTTTTGTGATTGTGATTAAAATAAACTTCTGGAAAAGCAGATTGAGTTTCATCATAGTGAGAGTTGTGGAGAGCTGGATTTTCCCCAGGTGTTGAATCAAGAGGCCCGCCGTCCTTTTTCAGGATCGACATGGTCTAACATCTCACAGACAGTTTGCATTTGGTGTTATACAGGATATGTGCTTCATAAGAAACATCCCCTTTTATTCACATATTTACATGCAGTTCTCATAAGCATAAACACGTATGTTTGGTGTGTCACAAACAAGAAATTTCAGTTTGACAAGATATGTTAGATATGATATGTTATCACAACCGCTTTCTGGATTCTGACGTCAGAAGCTACACACCGGTACGGACACTCACCTCTCATCTCCCTTTTCTTTCTCAATTTGGATTGCAGCCATCATCTTTTCATAGTCCTTCACTGGGGAGTCAAAGATGTTCCGTGCAATCCACCTGGTGATGGGGTGCTGCAAAACACAAGTATTTGATCCAAATAAATTAGTTTAATCATTTGGTTGTGACAATATTAAATTTGATCCTTTTACATTCTCTAAAATATCCCCATATGAATGTAAGAAGAACTGTACACAAAGTTCTTTCTGGAAAATCTAGAATTATAGAAGTCCAAATAGCACTTTTAAAAAATAAATAAACATTCACTAGAGGCAAGCACAGATGTTTTAAAAGGTTGATACTGCAGCAAAAGCTTTGTGATGGAAAGGACGATTACAGTATGTACATACTGTGATGGCCAATACCTAATTTAAGCCCATCCTGATCAGTGACACATAAAAACTTGTGAAAGAACTAATGAGATACGATGTTAGCTACATACCTTGTAGTACTCCCAGTGCTCAGGTTCATAGTCCTCAGGAATTTCTGCCAGCTCTGCCTCACCTTCACAACACAATCACACACCAGTTCAATTCAAAGTAACATGCAACTTCTTGAGATTAATTCATTAAATTACATCTTCAAACTTGAAGAAATATGCTTACTTACCAATGAAAACATTCACAGATGTGATCAGGATAGCCACAGGAATGCCGGTCAGCAGGATATAAAAGTGCTAAAGAAAAAAATTAAAGACCAATTAAATACTCACTTAAATATTCAATATTCTAACGTATGTTCTGTATGAGGGGTGGTCGAGTCTGGAGGTCTAAAATAATTGTTACTTTTATGCAAAAGTAGTTTATTTCATTACATTGCACCTTTATATCATAGAAACAACAAACACAGGAGTAATTGTTAGACCAGAAATTCTGTCCACTCTGGGTTTGACTTGCAAGGCTCACTACTGGCTCTTTGTGAAGTTTATTCTGTTGTTGAATATAACCAAATGCCAGTCCTTCAACGTTAGTGAAATATAAATACAAATATGACATGGACAAGAGCGATAATGCGTGGTATTTATTTAGGTGGATTTGATAAGTAAATTCCAACAGTTTTGACAACTAATACCCAAATGAATACAACTTTAATGACTGGTTGGTGAGGCTGAATTTGAGTAAATTCACATTACCAGCTTTTAGTATCCTTGTCCAACCTTTAAAATAGTGAGTGGGTACAGCAGGGCTCCACTTTAGTGTCTTAGCTTTTGACACACAGCTGTTTATGAAGATCGACTGCAGCTGGCATCAATCTTATTATCTATTAACTGCAGCTACCATATCTGGGCTCGGACAACCCCTTTAGTTTGTCAGGATCACTGGCAATAAATGACATGGTGTTGTAATACTCACCAATAAGCGCAAAAATCTCCTGTCATAGAAGTCAGAGGCTTTGATGAAGAACAATTTCTTTCCATGACCCAAACGAACGGACACTGCAAAATAAGACAGGGGACACTGCGATGACCACTTATTTCCCTAAATAATGTTTGGTGCTTTAATGACAGCATGATATATATATATACATGATATTCCTTAACATAAGGTTGAGGTCAATGTTGTTTACTTATTAGACTGTCATATCAACACTGAACAATCACTGCCTCATGATATCCACATTACTGATGATCATTCCTCGTGTGTCTTAAATAAATCAGGGGTGGACAATATGGACAAAATTACTGTTGTGATCATTATTTACGAAGGTTTACAAAAAAAAAGGCTGGCAAAATGTTTAATGTGCATCCCACTGAGTCAAATGGGTTTTTAGTGGTTTAAAATAAAATCCTACAAATTATAACACATTTCTCTCGTATTTAAGCTCTCGGGTTATTACAGTTGTTTTAATGAAACAAAAAGGACGTGCTGATTCCTTTAGACAGGAAGACAATAAACCACAATATAGTATTGTATCATGATTATATGGGGAGAAATGATCATTTGTCATTCAAACGCTATAAAAGAACTATTACACCGGCTGAATGACATTTACTTTAATGAAAGGAGCTGTTTAAAAATGTCACTAGCTGACTATTAAACTATTAAAAGTACTAACATACTTTTTTTTAATAGTTTTTGTTGACAGCGGGACAAACGTTACCAGCTAGCTAATGTTAGCAAGCTAACAAGCCCCGGCGCAAGGTCATAAGAAGAGACGACCACCTTCAGGCTCAAACTTCTCCCTCTTTAAACAACCAGGGTGTTTCTTACCTTTGTTTGTCTGTGGGATTGATCGGGTCAGTAAATTTGCCGCATTATTTCCAGATTTCAGAGGACTCAGTCTGGCTGCAAACGCAGCAGCAGACCTGAGAAAACTCATCCCCACCATCGTTACTGTGGGACGACGGCTCAACAACACGATCTCTGATTGGTCGATGAAGGAGTGAAGCGGAAACCGCCATATTTGATGGGGGCAGATACGTTTAAAAAAAAAAAAATTCTAGTTTAGTTGTATTTTTGTGTAGGCACGGCATATACATGTATAATATAAATAAACATTAATAACTCGAAAAAGCCAAATAAATAAAAAATATATATATTTAGTGTGGAAAAATGCATGACGGGTAATGTGGGAAGTAACTACGGCAAAGATGGCGGCGTCCTCAGCGGCAGGACGCGTTTTGACTCTTTGCAAGCAGTTTCAAAATGTCTTAAGGATATCTTCAGCGATAAATCCTCAGCACTGCACTGCTAATATAACCAAGTACCAGGCTCATGTTTACAGGTAAGACGCCCTGCAGTGTGCTCAACATCCCGTACAAGCGACGTTAAAGTCAACGTGTTCATAGCTAACGCTGGCTCTGATGCCCACTGATGGTTCTTGTGGATTATGTAAAAATAATGATCTGCGAATGAAAAAAGCAGCATCAGCTTTTATATTTATGATGCCAGCTGCAGTGGCATTAATGTGACAGACCAACGGTATGCTTAAAGTATACTAAAATAATACATTTAGGTCAGAGCTTTGGAAAAGGAGACCTTGAAGCTGCTTTTTTTACTTCTTATAGCACCTGTTAAGATGGCAGTACAAGCTTCAGCCTAAAGAAGTCTTTACCAGAACTTTAAATGTCTAAGTCAGATTTACACACAATAGGCCTTTTGGCTATTTGGGCTCTGCAAGCACATCTGTTGTTACTTCATGATCCTTTCCCTGTGTTTTGAAGTGCCATCATGTTTCTAACAATATAACAAATAATGTTTAATCTTCTATTTGGTGTCTTGCTAAAAACCACCAACACTAAAAGCATTTTCTGGGTCAGAAAGGAAAAGGAGAAAGTAGCTAAGGAAGGAAGGGAGGAGACATTTTAAGAGAAGCATAATGCACTTGTTTTAGGATTTTAATTCAACCTAGGTGCAATCATAGGAAAACAACATGCAGTTTGTAATTTAAGGTGGATTTAAGTCTTGTTATGTGAATTTATATTGCATCCACCAGGGAAAAGTCTCCTCTGGTTGCCGTGCCCTTTTGGTACAGTCCGAGCAGCTCAGCAGGTCAGTGTCGAGCCCTGCACACAACCATCAGCAGAAGAGGGCTGGAAGAGTTCTTTGACCTCCCTGAGAACTGGGGAGAGGCCACCGTGAAGTCAGGTAAAACACCGAAATATTATATGTGTCACATTTTTGTTACTGCCCACCAGGCATGATGGCAGCATTTCACACATTTTTGGTTTGTTATAATCTTATAGGTGCACCATGGACTGCCAAACAACTGAGAACCAAGAGCAATGAAGATTTACACAAACTCTGGTAAGAACTGTTGAAATTACACTGGTGATTTACAGTGTGTGAACGTTTATTGGCTGTGTGTAACACTCTTGTTTTATTTCAGGTATGTGCTGTTGAAAGAAAAGAACATGCTGCTCACAATTGAGCAGGAGGCAAGAAGGCAAAGGGCTCAGATGCCAAGTCCAGAAAGATTAAGGAAGGTTCGTATGATGCTCAAGTGACACCTCCACCAGTACTGTAGAAATCCTGAACTAGATTTGTCATATTTGGATCAACTTTGGCAGAGTTAGGTGGGATGCAAGGTTTGTACATGGAGTATTGTGGGTGTTGTTTGTGTTAAAGCAGGAGCCCTGGCTAAGGTAAATCTTGCTGTCTTTCTCCTCCCAGGTTGAACGGTCGATAATCAGACTGGAGACGACGGTGAAGGAGAGAGAGACTGCACTGCGTCTGCTGCAGACAGGACAGGAGAAAGGCAGACCAGGAACCTGGAGGAGGAACATGTTTGGATACGTCTACTGGTGAGGGCAGAGTCTCTGTATACATTCTGTCACACAGGCACACATAGAAGGAGAATGAAGCCCTCTTAACACTTTAAAGGTTTCTTGTGGAGTTTTTTTTTAACTCCGGTAGCACCATGGAGCACATGTAGACCACAGGAGACATGATACACATTGCTGCCTGTTCCAGTGATCAACACTGAAAACACTTGTCCCAATCTTTTTTAAACACATTGGAGTCAAATTAATGTAAAAAATCAAACAAACAAAATAGAACTTTTTTAGCAAACTTTTGGATCCATGTGAGGTTTATAGTCACACACACATCCATTAGTATTCCAATCTGGTTTTGGTTTCAACAGAACTTTTAAACTGTAGGCAATGCTGACTTTAGACTGTCTGCGGGTGGTTTGTAACGTGGTTGTTGTACCTCTAAAGGGCTAGGCTTTGCAAAATGAAATATGTGAAGTAGAATCACTCATGTACACTTGTCTTTCCCTCAGGTATCGATTCAAAGAGTATGCAATTCCTTGGTACATGAACAAAAGGTACAAGCGAAAGAGGTTCTACACACCTGCGTTTGTCCAACCACACATCAGGTAAGATATGCCACATATTTTTGTATATTGTGTGGGGAGTTATATTGTGCAAAATTAATGTTTTCTTACAATAATCTAAATGTTTTTCTCACTTTTCTGTCTTGCAGGCTGCGCATAGAGAAGCATCTTCGAGACAAGGCCAGGAAGGCCAACAGAGAAAAAGAAACTCTGATGAAACTCAAGAAAAAGTTGCCTCACATCAAAGTTCCTGCATCGTGAAATTTCAAACGCACATTTTGAACAATTTCAGGAGGTTTTGACAGCTGTGAGTCGTCCAGACACAAGTCCCAACACATTTTATCAGCAGATATAAGTTGATATGAATACTCAAGTCTGAATCAGCTCATGTCAGATATCTGAAGTTGGTCTGAAACTTGTCCCATGTAGAATCTGAGTGTATTTGTCTAGCAGTTATCTGATCCTATTACATAAATTATGCTTCATCACCATGAAATGTTTTGGTCACTGTTTTCATACATAATATTAAACACACCTCATGTATTGAGTTTTCCTCATCTTGTTTTAATAGTAACTTGTTACCTAAATGTAAACCTGCCATTTCATGTCAGACAACCAAGAAACCCTCTGAATTAAAATAACCATGTACATGTAAAAGTATTAGACTTTTATCACACTCATTTAAAGAAACATTTAACAAAAAAGGACTTTATTTTTAAAAGACCATATGTAGCCAGTGACAAGCAAAGTGAAAATTAAATACAGATTTATTTGAGTTGACACTCACCCAAGCACAGGCGAGAACTGACTGGCCTTTGCCTACGATGAGCTTACTACAAAGAAAGAGAACGGCGTATGGACAAAAAGACATTCACCCCAAACTGTTAGGTTGTTCTTAATACACACCCAAATTTTGCCTCATTAGTATTTTGCAGAAACCTTGGACAACAAATTGCATTTCTCACATTGTTTTTTTTTCCCCCAGTGCCAGTGTAGGACCAACATGCTAATATTTAATGGCCCACAGACCACGTCAGTCAGACAAAGACATGGGCAATAGGTAGCAAGATCAAGCTTTTGTCAATTCCAAAAAAGTTTATAGTTGCAAAGTTTCCGCAAAACACCAATCCTAAAGATAAGGCAACAGCCTGACTTATGATACAAACAAAGTAACTTAAACCTCACCTCATCATAGTGACAGTTTATTTTGTAGGTGTTTGACTGATTTTCACAATAAATCCCAAACAGACAGGCAGAATATGGACAAACTCAGTTATTTTTAAAAACAAAATCATACAAAACAAGAGCGATCATCCGGAGGTGTTCCTGAGTCCAGGGTCAGAGGTGAATGACTCATGATGAGCTTGTGGCAAAGACTGTGACAAGGAGGGTAATGATTGGTTGTCAAAATCAAGGGCACTTCCTGTCCACACACTGCTTTCCTCCCTCTTCGTACTCCTGTTTGGAGATCCACATCTGCTGGAAGGTTCCCTGTCGGACAGAGAAAACATGTTTCGTTTGAATACATCAGAAAAAGGGAAGGAATACAATTGGTCTGGAGTACACACACATAACTAAAGACAAAGCTGGGGAGTAAAGTCGATTAAACACAGTTCTCACGCAAAATAAACCTACACATCAGAAAAAGTCAATTTTCTTAAACACTACAAATATTCCTTAATGAGAACAATAGTCCATCTATGTAATAAATCAGAGATAAAAATAGAAAATGTCCCTTCAAATCTTTAGGTATGAATGCCACAGTACTCCGCCCTTATTCTGAAAAACATCAGCTATTGGTAGCCTGAGCCACTAGCTCTGGAGTTGTTGCTCTTATTCCCGTCAGTGTGTGACAGACAGTTTCCTGTCATAAAGATTAAAAAAAACTCAAAAATGTTGATATATTCTCATAGAACAGGTTTAGCTTCTGTGTGTCCTTACGAGTGATGCCAGGATGGAGCCTCCTATCCAGGCACTGAACCGGCGCTCCACTGTAGTGTTGTTGGCTATCAGCTTCAGCCTCATGCTCTGCAAATCAAAGACACACATGATAAACAACAAGCCGCACTGTATTTTGACTTTGCATTTGAATCATTAAAGCTTAAGATAATAGTGTTAATCAGATTATGTGAGGAAGTAGTGGCATTAACTCACCGGAGGAGTTTTCTGGGAGAGTTCTCTGTTCAGTCGGTCTGTGAAGCCCTGAATGAGTGTGTTTCCTCCAGTCACCACCACACTGCCATACAGACCCTGAGACACAAGTCACAGGTCAGAAAAATAGACTTTCTGGTTTTAAAGCAAAAAGTAAAAGTGCAACACGCAGGCACTCTTATAGAAACACTGCCTCTTATCAGACATTGAACAAATTTTGTGATAACGTCACACTGTTGGACATCGAACAGTGACTATGAATACATTTCAGGGGTTATTCTATTACCAAAAATGTAAATATACAAACCAGCCTTGTTTACATTCATTTCAGATTTCATGCATTTCTACATTTTTGTTGACATCACGTAGTGTGTGAAACATTTTGTATTCACTACTACTGGTAAAATGCCATGGACAGAACTAATCATCAAAATACAAGGCACTCTTAATTGCGGTTTTCTTTGAAAGCGTTTTATGGTGTATTTTAATTGAGCCCAAAATTCACCTTTACTGTTTCATCTACATTTCTCGGGCGAGGCAAAATTTATCTCAAATCAACTCAAAGAACAGGAAACATTTCAGCCACCAAAAACATTGCATGCCATGTTTTAAACATCTTGATAATCACCGGCCGGATGTCGATGTCACACATTCCCACGCTGGTCGTCACCACATGGCCAACTCCCAACATGGTATTTCCAGACAGGCCCTGAAGTGGTCAGAACAAACAAAAACACTAAAATACATTTCCACAAAACAAATTCATAACACATATGAAGCAACACATCTGGACACTTAAAACAACGTTTCATAAGAGAGCTTTCCTTATTTAACAGCAGTAAAGGGTTATATTTCTATTTTGGCTGCTTTGTAACCTCCACATTTAAACTAATGGAGCATTATGAGTGGGCACACACCTTGGCATTCGAGGGGTCAAACAGCCCCTCTGGGATCTTCAGCCTCTCAGCCCCAAAGTCACAGTTGTAGCCGTTGGGTAGCTCATAGTGCACTGTGGGCATCTGCGCAGCAACCCTGATGAAAGAGAAACGAACATTTTAACCTTTCAGATGATGTATACCTTTAGTATGCAAACCTCTATGGATTATGGACAGGTGGATAAAACTACAGCGCTCCTTTATTTATTTATTTTTTTACATAAATTGAAAACCATATGTGGGAGAAGCATTGGAAAGCACTGGTGTAGGAACCTCAAATACTTGCAGGTTTTAAGACTACACACTACATGCAGTATATTGTGTATTCCTATTCCATAGAGAGGCCAGGTAGTGGGAATCTATTGAACTGGAGTGAAACATGTCTACGAAATGGACAGATTCATATTAAGTTGCAAATAATGCTCTTACTGTTCATCATATGGCGAGTCTGACACCTGCAGCACAGATGCCTGGAAGTCCTGGATCACACACTGCAGACAAAGAAAAGATGAGTTATACACACATTGAACAAAACACAACACATACCAACCAACTATAAAATAATAATTCCTTTATTACTGCTAGTAATAAGTGTGAGTTTGCTGCTTACGTTACACATGTAGTTGTGCCATGAGCGGGTGACTTGAGGTAGTTTCTCCTTCTTCTTCCAGCTGGCTGGGGATCCCTCCCGCACTGAATCCTGTAATGACAAACCCCGTGATTGGTTTTGATTTACAAACTTGGACCGCTGTGCTACTGGCTGTAAACTGGTTCAATCCATATTGTTTTACATGTATGTAAAACCGAGAGCTAACATTATAATCACCCCATTTATGATGTTAATGTGCATGTATGTATCCAAATAGCCAGTTAATCAGATTTACAAGAAAAATCAGTCCAGTGATAACAAGAGAAAAATATAAGTCTACCACTGTATGATCTGTACAACTGTATATAATTATAACATTCAAAACACAACCTTTTTTAAAGACAATATTTGGGCTTTTTATGCCTTTTTTTTGATAGGACAATTAAGACAGACAGGAAAGGGGAGAGAGGAAAAGAGGGGACAACATGTAGTAAAGAGCCACAGCTCTAAAAAATAAAAAAAAACTGGTTACATCAGTGGGTTTCACGCTAGAGCAATATATGCCAAATACTTACTACTACTACTACTACTACTACTAAATTTTAAAAATACTATTACACTTGTGAATCAAGATAAACAAGATTCTCTAAAGTGAGGTTTCCACACAAAGATCTTACCTTTGATGCAATCATGTAAGGGGGGATTATTTCAACACTTAATTCTTGAAAAAGCTCCCTACACTGCATGCTCATGAAGTCTCCAGCCAGGGGCGATTTGACGATTCCTGTCAGAGAGAATAAATACCAAATGACTTAAAAAGGTAAAGTAAATCTACCATGATTATAACATTCTATTTAATCTTGCTCATCTTAATACATCACTATGACCATAATGTATCCTTTATGACTCCAAATTCGTCAGATTAGCAATCTCTCCTCCTTTTGTTCCATTACAGTTACAGAAGCTTGTAATAACTGATCACTTGTAGGAACAGCTGATTTTATTGGCAAGGCTGAGATGCAAGCGCCAACCAGCAGATGGCAACATAAATCACAAAAGATAAGCACATGAATCAATAAAGGACCATAAAATGTACATGATTCCTCTTAGGTGATGAATCCCATGCCTGGTTTATATGTAGACCAGGTAAAATCTGCAGGTAGAGTATCAAGTTATGATGAAAGATTTATGATAATTGGTCACCTTGCTGCAGGACGTAGCCATCATGCACTGGAATTGCTGTGGTGTGTGTGGCTCCGCTGTCCAGAACCAAGCCTGTAGACCGTCCATTCGCAAAGCTTAGATACTCAGAGTGAAGGAAACGTAACACAGTTCGACATATAATTGATTCAATATTGGTTCAACAGACTTTATGTAAGAGAAATGGTAGTCTGAGACCATTATCAAGCAGTTATGGGACAATTAAATGACTCATATTAGCTCTGTCCCATCCTTTTCTGGACTAAGTGAAATAGTAAAGGATACGCAGACAGCACAGCAGATTTGCAGAGGAAGAAGGCAGGAATGTTGTAATGTTCAAACATCAGCTCTGTTAGTTTCTCTCGTTTCGCTCGCGTGTTCCACTGCGGATAAAAAACAGGAAATGATTGTCAGCAAAACATAAACTACTAAGATTCTCTATGATATGATGAAGAAGAGAAAACACCTCCTCGGCTCACAATACTTTGCTTAGAGCTAAGTATTGTAAGTAGTAGGTAAGAGTATTTACCGATGCCTCTGACATGAGCACTGGATGCAAGCTGGGTTCAGACTTGAAGTGCATCTTGTAGGTGTGATCCAAAATGGCCTGGAAACTGTCCCAGTCCTCAACTGTAAACAAGGCAGAAGAGAAAACAAGGGTAGAGCTT